TTTTCTTTCGAACCTACCCCTACACCGCTTTTTACCAAACTTTCCCCGGTAATTGTGCCGGGTATGTAACGGATAACGAGAAGTAGCCGACAGTCTGGTTGTATCGTAAATGAACAAAAGTTTCCGCGCAAAAAGCTTGGAAAGTATCGAGCTGTACCTGCAACCAGTTCCAGAAGAGGAACGAAGAGAGTTAAGGGAGGGAGGGGAGGGGGAGGTGGAATGGATTCCTGGTCGAAAAGTGAGAACTTGTACCACTATATTCCATTAGTAACTGTATTGTCAAATCCGACGTTCGATATTTTCTCGTTGCAAAAGTGAGTCACGTTCGTGAAATCATTCGAATAAAAATTCCTCCATTCTTCTTCGCAATATAATTTTTTTCTTTTCTTTTTTTTTTTACTTTCAAAATTCAATTTTCATTTTCATCGTCGAGTCAATCTCGATGGATTGAATTTACAGACGAAGGATATCCCTATGGATCCGTTCGAAAAATAATTAAAATCTTTTCGATAAAATGATCCGATTCTTCTCGATTTTTTGTTTTTCCTTTTCCTTTTCGATATTCGTACGAGTAAATAATATATATGTATATTCTTGAATGTAAAAGGGGTTGAACATTATACGCGAATTTATTAAACCGAATTTCAGGTTAGTTCGTTACAGGCATCCGCGATTACTTGGCGAGCAACAGCACGCGAAAAACGAGAAACAGGCTTACGAGCGACTGTTCTGCAACAAATTAAATTCTAGAGAAAATTGGTTCATTATCCGCGCGAACGTTGCGGGGTGTAATGCAGTTTGTTGGTAGAATCGAATGAGGAACCGCGTGTGGTAGTACTCGCGGCCTCTCGCGAATTTATTATATCGTCCCATCGAGCTCTGAATTTCACTCCTTTGTAACTCGATAAACCGTGACTCGATTCTTGTAAAATTACATCTCGACAATTAGGGAATTGCATCCTTTCCCTCCCCCTGTTTACGTAATCATTTCTTTCCGTTCCAACAACAAATCCTCCCGTATCCCCGTTCACACCCAAACAAACAAAATTCCAAACAGAATTCCACTTTGAAATTTTTTCCTCTCCCTCCCCTCGTTTCTTTTTACATCCCGCTTAATAAAATAAATCTTTGTTACAATATTTGAACAAAACTCCTCTTTTTCTTTATTCACTCTTGAAAAAACATAGAAATAATTTCATTTCAGTTTCGAGATATAAACAGAACGAAGAGAGAAGATGGAAGAGAAAATTCTCATTTTTCCACTATTGGCACAATTGCAATAGTAATGCATCTTATTTAAATCCCGATTTTTACATAAAAATCGACAACCGTTCCATTCCTCCTCCTCTTCTCATCTTAGTTAATTCCATCAAGAGTCTACCGCGAAATCAACCCCCATAACGCACCCATAAATTCTCAAGATCATATATCGTCCCGATCGTAAAGTCTAATTTATATAATTGACGTATGGATCGCGAGACGAGTGAAGCAGCGTACAATACAATATTGTTGGACGAACGAGGTCGAATTTCGTTGGAGGGCTCATAAGCCGCATCAATCTCGCGAGTTGGGAACAAGCGGCGGCGGGTCGAACGTGGCCCGATCCCGTGCACGCCACGACGCCATTATGATAATGGCGGCCGAGGAAATATGATAAACCGGGCGTGGCGCGAATAACGATTATCATATTTCATCTCGGCTTGACGGATCGAATAATAACTAGCCACGAATTGTAACGGCCTCTTCTTCCTCCTCTTCCTCTTCTTCTTCTTAAGGGGGTGTTGTTCGTCATCCACGTGTCGCGGACGAGACTTTGTTTTTGCCCCCCAGTCAGAATGCTCGTTAGTTTTTCTTCACTGTTTCGTATGTGTGTTTCGTATACGGATGGATGGGGGAAAAGGGATCGTAGATAAGAGAGCAAATAAGTTTATGGAAGAATATAAAACGATGAACTTTTTCTGATAAATTTGTAACACTGGGGGAAGAGTGTTTTTTTTTTTTTAAGTATTCCAATTCTTCCTTCCATTGGAAAGGAGTTTCGTTGGAATTACATTAATACCCATTGGGATTATCCTCTTTGATTTTTGAACGTATTCAACGAATACGCGAAGGAAAAGAATTACACGGTACAGTAGTTGAAGCGAAGATATTCTTTTCATCGATGAAAGGAGATCGTGTTTTCTTTTCTTTTTCTTTCCTTTTCTTTTCCACAAAGTTAAAAGAAGTGGACGAAAAGCGACTTTTGTTTCCCTAGATTGATTTATTTAAAATGCTTGATTAAATCCTGTCCTCTGTATTCGTTCGCGATTGTAATCTTTCTTTCTTTTTTTCTTTTTTTTTGCGAGGAGCAAAAAAAAAAAAGGCGCTTTCATTTCGTCCAACGAAGGAATTCGCTTTTAGCGAATTTTCTTAAGAACAAACCCTTCTCGAACCCGTCTCCATTGTTCTATCCTATCGGGGCTCGATACTACGAATATTACGAAAACATTTTTTATAATCTCATTCATCGATGTCTCGCGCTTCCTTGTTTTTATTTTACTATCGCGGTATCTACTTCTCGCGCGATATCCATTCTTCGCGCTTATTATCTCCTCGAGATAATCTCCCTTACTCTTTCCTCCCAACCTCTTTCCCCCTTTGAAGCGGGGAGAAAAATAGCGGTGCGATTTCAAAAGAAATCGTCGAGCCACTCGAGACTCTTTCAGCCTTGTCCTTAGAAGAGTCGTTGTATCTTCTTTTCTTGAGAATCTTTCTTAAAACAGAGAGTTCTGAAAGTGGCTCCTTCAATCGTGGAATTATCAATTAGAAAAAAAGAAAATAATCAATCTCCTTGCTATTAAAACAAAAATCATCTCTAATTCACATAAAGTAATTCAGCAATTCGCTATCATATTATATATATCAATAGGGTTAAAATTCAAGAATTTGTTTGATCGGGCGAGGATAGGTCTGGTTAGTTTTCGACCCATTCCGTATAATGATCGTGAGCCCATAAATTCTATTTGATTTTCGCGGCCATCAATTTGTTATGGGTGACGTCGTGATCTAATTTGAAGCGCCTCCGCCCACCTCCATTTACCAGGAGGAGGAGGAGGAGGGCCGCGTATTTCGAAAACCGCAGCAACAGATGCGATGATTTGTGGACAGTTGCGCGCATCGGCGCCCCTCTCAGATTGATGCATCCCCAACCGATCTATGAATCAAATTCAAATTTCAAATGTATCTCCTCCTCCTAGAGAAACCTTGTTCTTCGTTGTCTAAATTCTTTGCTACTTTTTTTGAGGAAGTGGAAAAGGACGTACGTGTTTTTTTTTTCAAATCTTGCGAAGAGAAATGTATATCGTAAAAAAAAAAAAAAAAAAAAGAATAAGAGAAATAGAAACGGTTGACTGAAGAATCACGAGGGAGTTTCATTGTCGAAGAGGAGAGGAGCATGGCCCGAAGGTTAAGTCGCGTTTCCATCGTTCAAAGCGATCCGTTTCCATCGCGAAGGAAGGAACACAAAGTGATACACCAATAATCATACTCGTTCCCACGAGTATACCACTTTCTTTCAA